GTCAGTGACTCTGTGTGTCTGCAGTGTTGTTCCTGTGAGTGTCAGAGACTCTGTGTGTCTGCAGTGTTGTTCCTGTGAGGGTCAGTGACTGTGCTGCTGTGTTTGACTCGAGCAGGTTTGAAAAGATGATCAGTGGGATGTACCTTGGAGAGCTGGCCCGACTGGTTCTGATCAGACTGGCCCAGGAGAAGCTGCTGTTCGGGGGAGAGATGTCTGAGGCCCTGCTCACTCCAGGCAAATTTGAAACGAAGCACATTTCTGAAATTGAGGAGTATGTGTGAAAGGAGCCCACTTACCTACACAGAACTGTAAACACTAGGCCTTGAGCAAGGACAAAAACAGTAGTACAAATGTGACCTGCTCTTCCACACTCTATTTGCTATTTCTTTGATTGACAACTCTAAAGAAGATTTGAATCGAGCCAGAGTAAATCTTATCCATTAATTTTATTCATTGATTTGAATAAATGATATCCGTTGATTTTATCCATTAATTTTATAAAAATGTTCTGCCTCGCAAACTCAGAACATTTTTCAAAAATGTATTTTCCAGAGTTAAAAGCAAAATTCGAATTAATGAAACTGGTTCTTAGAGAATTGCTCTCTCACAAATAAATGTACAAAGATGAGCAGTATACAAATCTTGGCTCTCGTCTGTTCAATTATTGAAACATTCAGATCATTCCATATGTATATCGCAGTGTATGAAAGATCTCATTCATATCTCTGCAGACAGTGGGAAGAGCAGCAAGTACAAACTGGCTCCTCACTTCCTTTTACCTGTAAATGATACAACATGTCTGCAAGACCACACACAGAATCCACAGTTCCTAAGCGCTGTCCCACATTTATCACCAAGTTTCCAGTTCGATTCAGACAATTCCACAACTCTACAGAGCAAAACTAGTTTAAAACTTGTTTTTATTATCTTGGAAGTTACTGTAGCTGCATTAAATGGATGTTATGAGAGACACTGTGCGACCTTACTACAGCATGTAGTATTATAATGTCTTCATGTTAGACTTGACACTGTTTTTGTCCTGTGCTCAGTGCTCTTGTCTCTTGCGGGCTGTACACGTTTTTTTAATTTTTTCAGTTGTTAGCAGAAAACAGGATGAGGATATTTTGGTCCAAAATAACATTTTTTCCTGGCTGTGAAAAGGTGTGTCAGTGTGTCGTGACGGTTAGCGAGCTTTAAAACACTGGGGCCGGAGGCCTGGCCTGACGACGCCTCTTGTGCCTCTCCGCTGTGTGTGCTAGGGACCGCAATGGGCTGACTCGGGCCAGAGAGATCCTGGAAGACCTGGGGCTGAGTCCCACCGGGGAGGACTGTGGGATTGTGCGGCACGTGTGCAGCACTGTGTCCACGCGCTCCGCCCACCTCTGCGCCGCTGCCCTGGCAACCGTCGCCAACCGGATCCGTAGCAACCGCGGCCTGGACCATCTCCGCACCACGGTGGGGGTGGATGGCACCGTCTACAAAAAACACCCCAAGTAAGACTGTGAGGCAAGATCCGGTTTAACGTGAGGCATTATTAGAAGGGGCAGCTGTGGGGTGACCAGATTGTTCAAGTTCAAGTTCAAGTTTATTGCCAGTATACTCATATACAGGTATACGGTATAACAAAATGCTATTTAGCTAGCTCTCAGATGATACGTAGTACAAAAAAACAACAACAACAATACAATTGTATAATAAAAGAAGGACAGAGACAACAGGCAGTGTGCAAAAAAACAAAAAGGTAACAGGTAATGTGCAAAAACACCATCACTGTGAGGTTCAGATCATAGGTGAGAGGTGAGGTGAGAGTGAGAGAGGCTGGGAGTTTAACAGTTTGATAGTGCGGGGGTAAAAACTGTCTCTGAGTCTGGTAGTCCGGGCCCGAATGCTCCGGTACCGTTTTCCAGATGGTAGAGGGTCATACAGTCTGCAGCTGGGGTGTGTGGGGTCTTTGATGATGCTTAGAGCTTTCCTTGAGCACTGTCTGTCATAAATGTCCTGTATAGATGGGAGGGCAACCCCAGTGATGGACTGGGCAGTTTTCACCACCCGCTGTAGGGCTTTGCGGTTCTGGACTTTGTCTTGTGAGTTCTTAGTGAGTTAACGTTGGTAAGTAGGGTGTTGGAGCTGTGGCTGTGCTTAAGGTTAGAGTTATCATTACATTCTAAGATCTGTGGAAACAATGTGACTTGCATGTGTTTGAACAGTAGCCAAAGATCACTTCCATCGTGCCTAGCCACTTGTTTTGCTTCGATAAGGAACTGTGAGACCCGGTCTTTTGCCTAATTCTGCAGCTGTCAGTAGAGAAAGTTAATAAAAACTGGTGATTATTGTTCTGATCAGTAATGTAGTTCACCACATTCCCTCAAATCATGCAGTAACGTTTCAATGTGTAAAAAGCTCTTTCTTACGTTTATTCTTTCAAAACCTGAAAGTCAACAAACAGCACTTCAGCAGGACATGGACTTGGAAATGTGTCCCCAGACATTAGGAACTGCCACGTGTCACCATCTGCATTACGTAAATGTTTGCAAAATGACCGTGAGCCTCCTTGACACAGAGGTGACCTGACACAACACCAGGCACAACACCAAGCAGACACGAACACCTCATCATCTGGCAGCTCGGCCTTGTGCATGATGCTGCAGGTACAGATACAGAAGACTGTTGTTCACCCCAGGGCTGTAGAGATATCGGGGGGGGACAGCACATTTTCTGACCTCATATGAGAGGATAGATGTGTGCTGTACAGGCCATATTGTCCGTGTGCAGCACACCGGAGCTAGGCCGCGGCTCTGGCCGCGCGGAGTCACGGCGTGATGGGGGATTTGCGTCCAGCCCCGGAGCTGACGGCCGCGCCCCTGCCGCCCACAGGTTCAGCGAGCGCCTGCAGCAGGCCCTGCGGACTCTGGCCCCGCGGTGCCAGGTCTCCTTCCTGCTCTCGGAGGACGGCAGCGGTAAGGGAGCCGCCATGGTGACGGCGGTGGCGCAGCGCCTGGCCGGCCAGTCGCGGCTGCTGGACGACAGCGAGGAGGACACCGCGGCGGAGGGGCGGTGCTGACCGCCGTCCCGGGACTCCTTCCTCCGCCCGGAGACCGGGAGCGGGGGGCACCTCGAGCACGTGGTGGGAACCCCGCTTCAGAAGCTGGACCTCTTGTCTTCAGATAACGAACAGAATTAATATCCCACCCCCTCCCTCCCCTTCCCAGTTGCGTGGGTACAGTCCTTTTTGGGGTGCAGCGATCTTTTCTTCTCCGTAGTTATTAATGTGTTCTACCCCCTCTATATTTATTGACACCCGCGCGTGGTATTCTGTGGCGACCTCTCAGGTCCCGCCCGCCGGTGACACTCCTGCTGCGTGGGCCAGCCCTGTGCGCTGCTGCAGGGAGCTCTTAGGCTTGAGCCACACGAGCGAGAGGAAACCATCGCTCTGATCTCTCTCTTCCTTCAGCCAAGGAACATGCAGGCCAGTAAGTAAGCCTGGGGAAGGGCTGCCAGCCTCCTGTTATGGTTTTGTGAAGAAACAGTGAAACCCGGTCATTTGTTTTAAATAATTCAGTGAACGGCTTCTTTGACCATCGACAATGAGACTGGGGTTATCGCACTAGATCTTCCAGTTTGCCAGTGGCGGAGTTGGTGTTGAAGATACACGTAATGCTAAAAACAGTATTTTGAACATAGACGTGGGGTTTAAGAATCCTTTGACTCAATGTCTGTCCTTCTAGCACCCCGACCGGACTGGAGCGTGGAACAGTATTCCTTTACAGAGTACTGGGATTTAAGACAAGGCACATGTTGCTGTAGTTTTCATATCCAAGCCACACTTGTCTGTCCCAGGAATTTTCCCCCCAGCCATTCTTGTCCCTGCTCACACAGCTGGGTGGGCCGGAGCCCCTGGGACACAGGACCTCACTCAAGGCACAACAGCAGAGTCTACAGCTGGGACTCGAACCCACAACCCACCAGTCATGAGAACAGAGATGTCTAGTTAACTATGTCACCCTAAACCCCCTCCATTTGCTGAAGAGTTTCAAAATTAACCATTTTTAGGTCTATTGACTTCTTGCAGTGCAACATACAGTAATCATCTGCTGAGAACTGAATTTTGTCTTAGTAAATGAGAGCAGTGCATGCAGAATTTATACCGAGAAATTGTTCATTGGAAAATAATGGCACTTGAAACAGATTTCTCCAATGTCAGGAGCTGTGTTTTGAATTCAGGTTTTAGACCTAACTGAAGAACGTGAGATTGTGAAGTCAGGCTAAAAAATGAATACGATTTTTTTATAATTAAATTGATAATGTGTTAAAAACAAATTATGCTTAGTGATACTTGGTTTCACATCTGTGGACAGTTTGTAATGCAAAATGATAGGCAGTACATACATAAGAACAAGTAATAGGTTTATTCCATGCTGAAAAAAAGAAGAAAGAGAACACAACGTTTCGGCCGTGGAGCCTTCTTCAGGTGTGAGAGAGACTCTCACACCTGAAGAAGGGTCCACGGCCGAAACGGTGTGAGAGACTCTCACACCTGAAGAAGGGTCCACGGCCGAAACGTTGTGTTCTCTTTCTTCTTTTTTTCAGCATGGAATAAACCTATTACTTGTTCCTTTGCAGCCTACGCATGCTGACGCAGCTACCCACCTGAACTAGTACATACATAATGTATGTGTAACAGTACTGCATATTCTCTACATGTATTCAATATAAGTACATAACGTGTTGATTGAAATAAGCAATTTGTGAGACATCTCCCTGGTGCGAAGTACTGAATTGTATGAATCAGACTGCTGCACAGCTATAATAATATATAATCTCAGAGTCAGCCAGCATGGGAGAGGTTCGGTTTCATGGTAGAAGATATTCCTTGATTTTTTCCCTTCTCTGTTCTGAGCAGGCCATTCATTATTTTGTGTAATTCTCCGATATGACATTCCTATTCCAAAAGGCGCAAGACGATCTTGTTTGTAAATTTAAATTTAAGTTTAATTCAGTTTGTAAAAGCTGTATCTGAATCGTCATTTTAAAGGTGGCTCTGACCTTAGTGGAGGACAGAGATAATGGATTTCCAGGGCCAGAGTTTTGCAGGCTTTATGAGCTGAGCTAGACAGAGACGACTTAACTAGTCATCAGACTGAGTTCATCCAAGCACCTGAGAGATTAATTATATCACTGACATCATCTTGAATGGTCTTGAATAGCTTTAAATTAATTTAAACAAATGCATCAAATTTATGGTAATAATACAGTTATACATACCTAAATATTGTATGCTGTCAATATACTGTAAAAGGGGCCAAAGTTGTTTCTAATGCTGAAGCATGTATTGAAAAGCACAGTGTTTAAATATTGCAATTTTTAATACATAATACTGGTTGCGCCATGTGAAAAATCTTATTTTGACACATAATGGAATAAATCTTACTGGCATCGGCTTTGAATACCTTCCAAAATATGAATGCAGATGAGATTTTTTTTTTAAACTCCCTATTTTCAATAGACATCATTTAAAACGTAAGAATTTGTCTGTAACAAGTAATAAGATAATATTTGAAAATTGGACTGTGGACAAGCAGGAGGAAATGTATGAGAAGCGACTTCATTGCTCTGCAAGAGTTTGTTTCAGAACGACGTAAGCTTAGCTTAGTTCTGCTTTTAAGAAACATAAAAAAGAGTTTTAGCTGTTACATGCCAAATCATGCAAGTGCTGCACAACATTCTTCTGAAATAATGTGTTGAAATTATATTTCTGTAAGTACAGTATAGTTTAAAGTATTACATTTTGATAAGTTTATAATACAATGTTTTGTTTCTTATTTATGGCTGACTGTGTTCATTGTGCTGGTGGTCTAATGGAATTTAAATAAAACCTGCAACAAAATAAATATGAGAAATAAAAGTTGTACTTTACTCTCTATGCATTGTTTTGAAAGCAAAAAATCTGAAAGCTTGAAAACACCAAGTCCACACCAAAGGAAAAAAGGTCCACACTCTCAAGTACGTTTATTCTCATGCACCTTATGCTCTGGATTTTTGTGTGGTTGTCATTAGCAATGAGCCTGAATAAGTGAATTGAAATAATGTTGATGGTAATCAGAGGCATTTTAACCCTTATGGTGCAGTGCTTTTGAATTGCACATGTAGTGAATTACAGAGATCCAATAACGACAGCGGCTCAACAAGAGGCTTGACACATTGTGGACAAGGAATCAGAGTGCTGTGAAAAAGAACATAAAAACATAAGGGATTTTTGAAGTAAGAGGAAGCCTTTTGGCCCTTCTGGACATTTAGAAGTACCTTATTGATCCCAGGATCTCATCTAACCATTTCATGAAAGACATCACCATATCGGCTTCAACAACACGGCCATGTAGCTTGTTCCCTACCCCCACCACCCTCTGGGTAAAGAAGTGTAATAATAACCATTTTCTTGTGTTTAGATGCACTTCCACGTAGTTTCCACTTCTGTCCACTGGTCCTTGTTTCACTGTTGAGTCTGAAGTCTACTGGAATGGCACTGTCAGTCTCTTTAATGATCTTAAAGGCAGCAGCCATGTCATCCTGCAACTCACTGAAGCTCAGCAGGTGTGAGCTTGGTCAGTACCTGGATGGGAGACCTCCTGGGACAAAAACGAAGGTAGAGGAGTTAGTGGGGCCAGCAGGGGTCACTCACCCTGTGGTCTATGTGGGTCCTTATACTGTATGGGGACACTATACTGTAACAAAAAAAGGCCCCGTCCTTCAGATGAGACGTAAAACCGAGGTCCTGACTCTCTGTGGTCACTAAAAATCCCAGGGCATCTCTCGAAAAGAGTAGAGGTGTTACCCAGGGGTTCTGGCCAGCTCTCCTCTCCACTGATAGCTGATGTGTGGGGAGCGTTCTGGCGCACTATGGCTGCTGTCGCATCATCCAGGTGGGGCTGCACACTGGTGGTAGTGGAGGGGATCCCCATTACCTGTAAAGCGCTTTGAGTGGAGTGTCCAGAAAAGTGCTATATAAGTGTAAGCAGTTATTATTATTATTATTATTAT